TGACTCCACTGAACTGTCCCTATCTCAGGGTCTATAACAGAAATAGTTCCCCTTCTGTTGCCGAGAAAATATACTGTGTGACACAGAAATGGTAACACCTGAAGTGACTACAGAAATTTAAATCAAGAATAACAAGGACTTATCAAACAACCATACCAGGAGAAATCATCACTTGGACAGCAATCACAACCAGAAACTTCAATTAAAAATTATCTGGACATTGATATCCAGAAATTATTGAATACATTGAAATGTGACTAAAGCAAAAGTTCATGGACCTTTTTTTTTAAGTGCTTTCAATAATTAACATTCCAAAGGAGCCAAAAAATTTCTAGAAGGATCAATAAATCATGCACGAGCCTATATGATGATACCCACTTAACAAACCACTTAGCGACGCCCTTGATAATTAATTAAAAGGGGACCAAATACACTAATTGATCGGATGATTCAACCACGAAAAATCGAGGTCAGAACCAATAAAGAAATTCGAGACAATGGAGGGACCAGTGGCAACTTTGGCAGGAGAAAGTCAGTGTTCGAGAAAGAACGAGCAAACCGGCAGAACTACGGCGTCAAAGACCAGTGTCGGTTGAGTAATCAAGAAACAAGGAGTAATCGAGAATCGAGAGACCTGTGTCCTTAACAGTTAATTGATGCTTATTAGAAATCTAACAAATTTATTGTAAGATTATTTATTACCGACGCCTTTTATTTAATAACAAGCATTATTTATTTTAATAAAATAAACTTTATTTTAATTGACCACAATATTTCTGTGTTTTACTCTACCCGCAAATTGGACCCACTTTAAACTGTGTCTCCACTCAGAAACTAAAGTCACCGCTCGCCAATTTAACACCTTGCCAAGTTTCTGATTTTGGGGTCTCACACACTCAGTAAATGTAAATATGTTTTATTAATATTTTGGGAAGTAGTTAGGATAGATATGAAAACCAATCGAACACATTTTCAAACAAATTTATTGAAAAAAATTCTTAAAAATTCAATAGTCAGTTGAGCCTCCACGTAAGTTTTGACATTCTGTAACTCTTCGTGGCGTGGCATGCTGCGAATCAGATGATCCATATCTGCCTGTGGTAGGTTCTCCCAGGCTAATCTTATCTCATGAAGTAGACGTTGTACATCCAGTAGAAGATGTGGCAACTGCCTCAGCCTTTTACGTATCATATCCCAGACATGTTCAATAAGTCTGGTAACCTTGCGAAAAGGTACCATTTTATGTCGCCGTCGATGAATGAAGTGGGAAAGAGTCGTGAGTTCAAAGTGAAGAAAACCCTCCAAATTTAGAAATGGAATTTAGAGGAAAAGGCACAGGAAATCGGGTGCGAGCTCGAGGTAATGTCCCTCAAAAAGATGTTTCAGCTCCAGCACAACCTCGTCCACCTCAGAGAGCACCGCTACAAGGTGCGCGGGAAGGCAGGCCGGCGGTGTCCTGCCATGAAAACAAACAAGCGATATTTATTTTCAAATATAAATTAACGCTCAGAGTTATTGGCATGTAACCATATCCCAGGAGGTGAGGAGTATAGGTATCATAAATATAACTAAGACATATGGCGGCAGAGTTTATTTACTTTTCAATATAAGGAGTTATGTTAGAGCTACTCGAAATTTACTAATGCCGCTTAACTGCATATATAGGTTATGTCATGTCTAGTGTACAATTAAAAAACAAAACCTTGGAAAAAAAAGCAAGCACTGCAAAAAAAAAGTAGTTGAATCAGTGAATTGTGAAAAGTGTGGTGCTAGCTACCACCCCAGTTGTGCGGCACAAGCCAGGGTGCTCAGTAAGGGCGGTAAAGTTTATTGCTATAAATCCAGAAAAAAGTGAGCTTATATTGCCAAAGAACGAAAAATCACAGGAAAAGCCGGAAAACTTGCTCAAAATGGATGAAAAAACATTGAACAATATTATTAAGGAATTGTTTCAACAATTCCTTAATCCAGTGGAGAATAAGATGGACAAAAAATTCCAAGAGCTGGAAATGTTTGTGCAATTAATGACAACGACTTTTGAAGAACAAAAAGTGAAATTTGAAGAAGCGCTACAGAAATTGAAAGTGATAAAGAAAAAAAATGAAGAATTAAAACAAAGGCTGCAGAAAATGGAATCAAACCTTGATTACATGGAACTGAAAGAGAAGCAGAATAACATAGTGGTTGTTGGAGTACCAAAACAAAGAAATCCAGACACAAAAATCATAATGGATAAAATTTTAACGTCTATGGTATTAGAGGAGCATAAAAATAAGTAACAAGAAAGCTTTAGGATAAAAAATATGGAAGAGGCACCAATTTTAGTTAAGTTCAGTAGCGTAGAAATCAAGTCAAACATTCGAGAGGATTCGAACTGAATACATGTGGTTACAAAGTCTTCATTACAGACGGCATAATACACCTCAAAAAAAAAAAAAAAATGACCGGGACCCAGGAATGAAAATAAAAAATCTGAATATGATTTACCCAAGTAAAACCTAGATTGGGTTCTACTATAAATATTTTGAAAAAAAGTTGAAATAAAAAAAAATCATGGTCTATAATGATATATTTGATGAGTATAAAGGTTCTGAAACACATGTGGGTGAAATTTTTTATGCTATTGGTGCTTTCGACAATGATTTGAGGGACCTAAATGTTATGCATGTGAACATAAGAAGCACATTCCATAACTTTGATGAATTTTTGGTCTTTCTGGAAGGGACAGGGAAAAACTTTGATGCAATAGTGATGTCAGACACACAAGATGTTTGCAATCTTACTGATTTTAATATACCTCTGGATACAGAATTTTTTTTAATAAGTACACTGAACAGGTGTGATGGGTCGGTTACCTATGTGAAGTCAGATCTGCTCTTGGACTATGAGGTGATAATAAACAAACTCATTCACATTACATAACAACATTACCCAATTTTTTTTTGCCAACATGGAACAACGTTGCCACATTTCATTTATTTAGGCTTGCGCATTCAACCGACGTAACTTTATTATTTTTTGAATTCGAGAACGGCTGGACCGATCTTGAATGTAATACCACGTATCTCTATATAAGCCGAATTTGATTGACCTAGATTAGATCGATTTGGGTTCAATTTAAGTTCAAATTAAGTTCATTTTTTTGTTGATGAGGGTGCACTGATCCAACCTCAATCGAACACAGTGTGGTTCACTTAAATTGAACCAGATCGATCTAATCCGGTCAATTGAATTCGGCTATAGAGAGGAGTGATATAGGCTATCTTTTATCCCGAAAAAAAAGTTCAGTTGCGCGAAACTCTGATACACTGGAACGCCTATAAACCGCCCGGGGCGCTCTAGAGCAGCTCTGGAGTGCTTGAAATGCGTCACTGAACTCACTGGCAAGCGGTCTGGTTTGACGGAAGCTCTTCGTTTTATCGTTTTTTAACAACGGTTATTTATTTCGATTACGAGTGCGTGAGTCGTAAGTCAGTTGCGCAAAATAAATGAAATATATTTTTTTTGCATAGCATTGCAACGCATGCCGGGTATAGCTAGTAGGAAAATAAATGACGATTATATATTAATGATGTAAATATAGGTAATGTAGGTAAACACATAGTACAAGAAATAGACAACCAAATTGATAATAATCTAGTACAAATTCACCGTGATAACATTCAATTCAATGAAATTTACTGGTCACTGCTATTTTCCACATGAATTAAAAATTAATAGAAGTCCTATATATAAGTCTGATGTAAAAAGTGTATAAGCAATTACCGCCCAATTAGTGTAAATAGTCTGTTTGAAAAAATTGTTGAAACTGTTATTGAGCAAGGAATGATGTCTTTCATTAGTAAGAATATATAATATCTCGATCAATTTCAGCATGGCTTTATCAAAAACAGTAGTACTCTGGGCACCGTGGTCGATCTTGTAAATGACATTCCATCCGAATTAGATAGGGGGAACTTAGTAATAGCAGTGTTTGTTGATCTACAAAAGGCCTTTGATGTAGTTAGTATTGATAATTTATTGAAAAAATTAAGATATATGGGATTCAGAGGCATTATAAAATCTTATTTATCTGGCTACAGTACGTAAGAGTGGGTACACAGCTGAGCCACACTGAGAGCTGTAATTTTGGGGTGCCACAGGGTTCTTGGCCCTCCATTTTATTCTCTTTATGTGTTAAGTCTGGGTTCAAGATAAATATTATACACTTGCTGACACAGTGTATAGTTTCAATAATGTAGAGGTTATCGATAACATTGTGAATGGTGATCTGAAGCTGTATACTGATTGGTTATTGTTTAATACATTAGAAATTAATGTTAATAAACCAAATTTATGTTGTTTAAACACAAAAACAAGACTGTTCAAATACCAAATATAAAACTAAACAATGTAATTATTGAGCATATATCTCTCCTCTTTTATGCATCTAGGCGAAAAGTTACCATTTTATGTCGCCGTCGATGGATAAAGTGAAGTGGGAGAAAAATTGTAAGTTCAAAGTGAAGAAAAAGCCTCCAAATTTAGAAACAGAAATGAAATCTAGAGGAAAAAACAGAGGAAATCGGGGGCGAGCCCGAGGTTATGTCCCTCAAAAAGATGTTTCAGCTCCAGGACAACCTCGTCCACCTCAGAGAGCACCGCCACAAGGTGCGCGGAAAGGCAGGCCAGCGGTGTCCTGCCACGAAAACAAATAATCGATTTATATTTTTTTAAATAAATCAACGCTCAGAGTTATTGGAAAGAGTTGTAAGTTCAAAGTGAAGAAAAAGCCTCTAAATTTAGAAATGGAATCCAGAGGAAATCGGGGGCGAGCATGAGGTAATGTCTTTCAAAAAGATGTTTCAGCTCCAGGACAACCTCATCCACTTCAAAGAGCACCGCACAAGGTGCGTGGGAAAGCAGGCCAGCAGTGTCCAGCCACGAAAACAAACAGCCGATTTATATTTTTCAAAATAAATTAACGCTCAAAGTTATTGGAAAGAGTTATGAGTTCAAAGCGAAGAAAAAGCCCCCAAATTTAGAAATGGAATCTAGAGGAAAACGCAGAGGAAATCGGGGGCGAGCACGAGGTAATGTCTCTCAAAAAGATGTTTCTACTCCAGGACAACCTCATCCACCTCAAAGAGCACCGTCACAAGGTGCGTCGGAAGGCAGGCCAGCAGTGCCCTGCCACGAAAACAAACAAGCAATTTATATTTTTAAATATAAATTAACGCTCAAAGTTATTGGAAAGAGTTGTGAGTTCAAAGTAAAGAAAAAGCCTCCAAATTTAGAAATGGAATCTAGAGGAAAAGGCAGAGGAAATCAGGGGCGAGCACGAGGTGATGTATTTCAAAAAGATGTTTCAGCTCCAGGACAACCTCATCCACCTCAGAGAAAATCGCCACAAGGTGCGCGGAAAGGCAGGCCAGCAGTGTCCTGCCACGAAAACAAACAAGTGATTTATATTTTTAAATAAAAATTAACGCTCAAAGTAATTGGAAAGAGTTGTGAGTTCAAAGTGAAGAAAAAGCCTCCAAATTTAGAAATCGAATCCAGAGGAAAAGGCAGAGGAAAGCGGGGGCGAGCACGAAGTAATGTCTTTCAAAAAGATGTTTCAGCTCCAGGACAACCTCATCCACCTCAAAGAGCACCGCCACAAGGTGCGTGGGAAGGCAGGCCAGCAGTGTCCTGCCACGAAAACAAACATGCAATTTATATCTTTAAATATAAATTAACGCTCAAAGTTATTGGAAAGAGTTGTGAGTTCAAAGTGAAGGAAAAGCCTCCAAATTTAGAAATGGAATCTAGAGGAAAAGGCAGAGGAAATGGGGGGCGAGCACGAGGTAATGTCTTTCAAAAAGATGTTTCAGCTCCAGGACAACCTCATCCACTTCAAAGAGCACCGCACAAGGTGCGTGGGAATCCAGGCCAGCAGTGTCCTGGCACGAAAACAAACAGCCGATTTATATTTTTCAAAATAAATTAACGCTCAAAATTATTGGAAAGAGTTATGAGTTCAAAGCGAAGAAAAAGCCCCCAAATTTAGAAATGGAATCTAGAGGAAAACGCAGAGGAAATCGGGGGCGAGCACGAGGTAATGTCTCTCAAAAAGATATTTCAGCTCCAGGACTACCTCATCCACCTCAAAGACCACCGCCACAAGGTGCGTGGGAAGACAGGCCAGCAGTGTCCTGCCACGAAAACAAACAAGCAATTTATATTTTTAAATATAAATTAACGCTCAAAGTTATTGGAAAGAGTTGTGAGTTCAAAGTGAAGGAAAAGCCTCCAAATTTAGAAATGGAATCTAGAGGAAAAGGCAGAGGAAATGGGGGGCGAGCACGAGGTAATGTCTTTCAAAAAGATGTTTCAGCTCCAGGACAACCTCATCCACTTCAAAGAGCACCGCACAAGGTGCGTGGGAATCCAGGCCAGCAGTGTCCTGCCACGAAAACAAACAGCCGATTTTAATTTTTCAAAATAAATTAACGCTCAAAGTTATTGGAAAGAGTTATGAGTTCAAAGCGAAGAAAAAGCCCCCAAATTTAGAAATGGAATCTAGAGGAAAAGGCAGAGGAAATCGGGGGCGAGCGCGAGGTAATGTCTCTCAAAAAGATGTTTCAGCTCCAAGACAACCTCATCCACCTCAGAGAAAATCGCCACAAGGTGCGCGGAAAGGCAGGCCAGCAGTGTCCTGCCACGAAAACAAACAAGCAATTTATATTTTTAAATATAAATTAACGCTCAAAGTAATTGGAAAGAGTTGTGAGTTCAAAGTGAAGAAAAAGCCTCCAAATTTAGAAATGGAATCCAGAGGAAAAGGCAGAGGAAAGCGGGGGCGAGCACGAAGTAATGTCTTTCAAAAAGATGTTTCAGCTCCAGGACAACCTCATCCACCTCAAAGAGCACCGCCACAAGGTGCGTGGGAAGGCAGGCCAGCAGTGTCCTGCCACGAAAACAAACAAGCAATTTATATTTTTAAATATAAATTAACGCTCAAAGTTATTGGAAAGAGTTGTGAGTTCAAAGTGAAGGAAAAGCCTCCAAATTTAGAAATGGAATCTAGAGGAAAAGGCAGAGGAAATGGGGGGCGAGCACGAGGTAATGTCTTTCAAAAAGATGTTTCAGCTCCAGGACAACCTCATCCACTTCAAAGAGCACCGCACAAGGTGCGTGGGAATCCAGGCCAGCAGTGTCCTGCCACGAAAACAAACAGCCGATTTTAATTTTTCAAAATAAATTAACGCTCAAAGTTATTGGAAAGAGTTATGAGTTCAAAGCGAAGAAAAAGCCCCCAAATTTAGAAATGGAATCTAGAGGAAAAGGCAGAGGAAATCGGGGGCGAGCGCGAGGTAATGTCTCTCAAAAAGATGTTTCAGCTCCAGGACAACCTCATCCACTTCAAAGAGCACCGCCAGTGCTGCCAGATCTCACGATTATTCGTAAGATTACACGATTTTGGTCAGAATTTCACGATCTCACGAATGAGGTAGCAAATCTCACGAATTCTCTCTGTAGTTATACAAATCAGTAATCAAATATAATGTAATCGGAAATAATCGAGATAAAAATCTAATATACAATATTTAGTTATGTTACGCCGCTCCTGGTACATGCGCGCTCAAGAACACTTTACCTAATAGCACGGCATATACAAAAACAATCAGCAGGCTAACTTGAGCTTTGTATCTCAAAATAACGGCGTGCGCAGATGAGATGGGCGTTAAATCTCATTGTTTTGCCATTTAAAGCTGGGCTGAATCCTCGAATGGCGGCGTGCGCAAAAGAGATGCGCGTGAGAGTTAACCTGCTGTTTGTTTTTGTATATCCTGTGCCAATAGGACTGTTTATTGAGCTGAAAGTGTCTGCGAAGTCCACGAGAGCACCGCCACAAGGTGCGTGAGAAGGCAGGCCACCAGTGTCCTGCCACGAAAACAAACAGCCGATTTATATTTTTCAAAATAAATTAACGCTCAAAGTTATTGGAAAGAGTTAATGAGTTCAAAGCGAAGAAAAAGCCCCCAAATTTAGAAATGGAATCTAGAGGAAAAAACAGAGGAAATCGGGGGCAAGCACGAGGTAATGTCTCTCAAAAAGATATTTCAGCTCCAGGACAACCTCATCCACCTCAAAGACCACCGCCACAAGGTGCGTGGGAAGACAGGCCAGCAGTGTCCTGCCACGAAAACAAACAAGCAATTTATATTTTTAAATATAAATTAACGCTCAAAGTTATTGGAAAGAGTTGTGAGTTCAAAGTGAAGAAAAAGCCTCCAAATTTAGAAATGGAATCTAGAGGAAAGGCAGAGGAAATCGGGGGCGAGCACGAGGTAATGTCGTTTAAAAACATGTTTCAGCTCCAGGACAACCTCATACACCTCAAAGAGCACCGCCACAAGGTGCGTGGGAGGGCAGGCCAGCAGTGTCCTACCTTGAAAATAAACAAGCAATTTATATTTTTAAATATAAATTAACCCTCAAAGTTATTGAAAAGAGTTGTGAGTTCAAAGTGAAGAAAAAGCTTCCAAATTTAGAAATGGAATCTAGAGGAAAAGGCAGAGGAAATCGGAGGCGAGCACGAGGTAACGTCTCTCAAAAAGATGTTTCAGCTCCAGGACAACCTCATCCACCTCAAAGAGCACCGCCACAAGGTATGCGCGGAAAGGCAGGCCAGCGGTGTCCTGCCACGAAAACAAACAAGCAATTTATATTTTTAAATATAAATTAACGTTCAAAGTTATTGGAAAGAGTTGTGAGTTCAAAGTGAAGGAAAAGCCTCCAAATTTAGAAATGGAATCTAGAGGAAAAGGCAGAGGAAATCGGGGGCGAGCACGAGGTAATGTCTCTCAAAAAGATGTTTCAGCTCCAGGACAACCTCATCCACCTCAGAGAAAATCGCCACAAGGTGCGCGGAAAGGCAGGCCAGCAGTGTCCTGCCACGAAAACAAACAAGTGATTTATATTTTTAAATACAAATTAACGCTCAAAGTAATTGGAAAGAGTTGTGAGTTCAAAGTGAAGAAAAAGCCTCCAAATTTAGAAATGGAATCTAGAGGAAAAGGCAGAGGAAATCGGGGGAGAGCACGAGGTAATGTCTCTCAAAAAGATGTTTCAGCTCCAGGACAACCTCATCCACCTAAAAGAGCACCGCCACAAGGTGCGTCGGAAGGCAGGCCAGCAGTGCCCTGCCACGAAAACAAACAAGCAATTTATATTTTTAAATATAAATTAACGCTCAAAGTTATTGGAAAGAGTTGTGAGTTCAAAGTGAAGAATAAGCCTGCAAATTTAGAAATGGAATCTAGAGGAAAAGGCAGAGGATATCGGGGGCGAGCACGAGGTAATGTCTTTCAAAAAGATGTTTCAGTTCCAGGACAACCTCGTCCACCTCAGAGAGCACCGCCACACAGTGCGCGGGAAGGCAGGCCAGCAGTGTCCTGCCACGAAAACAAACAAGCGATTTATATTTTATGTTGGATTTCAAATACAAAATATTATATTCGTTTAAAAAAAAGTAGATAGAATTTGATTATACAAGCTGAATGATTCATTTTCTCTATATTATCGTTTTTTTATAATAAACATACTTAATATGCACTGTTTATGAGGAACAAGGTTCCAACACGACAAAGTAGAGCTATAGTCACATGAAAGTCGTTGTATAAAATGTACAGGGAAATACACCCGCGGTTCAAATTAAATTACGTACAAAACGTTCACTGTGCTTCATTCAAATACCACACCTTCCAATAGGTTATGGACCCAGACACGATACGTGTATAATCGTGGCTTGTGATTGTGTCTAATGAAATAAATTCTAAAGTTCTAAACTTAAAGAATAACTATGGCTTGTGGCGCGTCATCTATGTTGAAGAGAAACTTGAAACTCTTTAATGGTGAAAACTATTTAATGTGGCAATCTAGATTGACTGAAATTATTGAGCAAGAGGGAGCAAGTAAATTACTTATTGAAATCCACCAATACCGCAGACGGAAGAATGCCTTAAATGGGAGCGATTTGCAAGGGGAACAATAACTGAATATCTAGATGACGTAGTACTATCACAATTACCGGCAGGTCGTGCAGCAGCTCGAGAAATTTTGGAAAAGTTTGATGGCTTGTACGCGTGCAAAAAGTTATCCACACAGTTATGTGTTAAGGATATTTTGTTTAATTTCAAATTGAAGCCGGACACGTCACTAAAAAAGCACATGTTGGAAATTGAGGAAATGGTGCGTGATTTATCTGCTTGTGGCATAAAAGTGAGTGAGACCACAAAACTATGGTATATTCTAAATTCACTACCACCAAGTTATGCACCAATAAAATCCGTAATTAAAACTATGACAGATGATAGACTCACATTAGTATTTGTAAGAGAAATGCTATTAGAACATGGAGAATACCTAGTACGAGAAAATACCGACACAAGCATGAAAGCTCTTCATTTCCGTGCTATGAATACCAACGAAAAATGGAAAAAGAAAGATAAATTTCCTCAAAGACAAAAAATGACTTTTAAAAATAAGCCAATTCAAAAATGTTTCCATTGTGGTACGAAAAACCATCCTAAACGTGACTGTTATTTAAGTTAGTTAAGTAGTTTAAAAACGATAAAAACAACAAAAAGAACAATCAGCAACCCAGTGCTTCAACAGCAGTGGTGAAGGAATCATTTGCTTTTATGATGAAGGTTCCTCCTTATCAAATGATATCGGATTTGTACTTATCCAGGGGAAAGGAAAAAAAGAAGTTGGGGTGACTACTCGCCCATTTCCTTAGGACAAAACCTACAGTTTTTAAGAGAGCAATGAGTGACTGCAGTTTGGATAGTGAGTTAGTTCACCGAATTAAATTTTTGAGTAAAATTTTAATAAAAACTGATTATTTCCGCAATTTCTTTCAATTATAATGGTATCTCGATCAAAATTGAGTAAATTAACTCAAAAGACGAATAGATAACATTGGAGAACTCATTTAAGGTGATTTTAACTCCATTTGAAAATAATGTACGCGATAGAGAGTAGTAATCGCTCATTTTTTAGCACTTTTGCGAAATACATTTGTGATTTGACGTTGACACATTGTACGATACGGATGCACTCGACTCGACCCGTCGCCGTCGGCGTTGACCTGTTCGTCCTGTTCGTTTCCCAATAATCCCAAATTTATTTACTTATTTATCCAAATCCCGAATGTGATGTGTAGCTTTTTTTTAAGTGTATACCTATACCCACTCGCGGGAGTAGTTTATAGAATAAACCAAGGCGAATTTCAGACAAATTTGCAGAATCCCAATTAAACCATTATTTTGAATTTCTTTTCAGGGCATATTAGTTGATTTTCTGGAAAGTAATTTACCAGCAGGATAAATTAACAGCAACTAGGTGCTGGAATAAATATACCTATAGGTACCTACATTAAAATTGGTAAGTACCATTCAATGTTACTGGTAACTTAATCCTGCTGGTAACTACTTAGAAGGAGATTGATATTGGTTTCTTACTCAATCATTCACTACAATTAAACTAGTATAGAGTTAAATTTTAATCAAGATCGATCCAACTGAATAAATAATAACTGAAATTTAAATCATTTCTGATTATAATAAACTCTTTATTGATCGTCAATCACTCTTTTCAGACACTTTAATTTCACTCATAAAATTTTCATTTCACTCACGCTAATAGAGTGAAAATTTAACTCAATCCGGTGTGGACCTTTTCTGAGACAATATTGAGTGTAATTTGAGTGAAAATTCACTCAATATTTTTACAGTGTATGGAGGACGCCCCAGAACAAATTTCATCGACAAATATGTCCTCTAAAAGCGGTCGAGTCGTTGCTGGATAATTTTGGCATTCCGAAATGGCTAATTCTCTTATTGTTCGTATGGCTAAATATGGGCTGGAAGTTACGCCAAACGTCACGGTCTTTAAACGGTACTCTTGTAAGGGTCAAAATGCCATAGGAGACGTTGATAGTCTCGGTGAGCAGGGGTCAATATAACATTTGCTTAATATCAGTCAGAAGTACAATCGGATGAAATCTAAATTTACAGTGCTAATGTCAATCTGTAATTTTGGTCCTGGTAGCAAAGTATCATTGAGACTAAGTCCCCTTGAACCTTTGGCGAATGCATTAAACACAACTCGAATTTTGGTAGTAGACTTTCCAGGTCGGAGAACACAATGGTGTGGTAGATAATTTACATAATGAGGTTTAGAATCATTAGGCATTACAGGAGTCATATGACCATTACGAAGATAGTCAAGCATAAATTCGGAATATTGATGGTATAAATCGGGATTTTTCAGTAGGCGAGATTCTAGTGAATAGGCACAACGCAGTGCCAAAGAGTAAGTATCTCCCAAGTCGGGTTCGGCTTGGCGAAATGGTAGCGAAACGATAAATCGACCCGTTGGGTCTCTGGTGAGGGTGCTTCTGTGAATATCTTCACATCCTTTTTCGTCTGGTGAAAGATGTATTGAAACAGGTATATTTTCAAGCTCCCAGAATTCGCGAATTTCGTTTTCTAAGGATAAATTAAAAAGGGTAAAATATGACTCAATTGGGGGTTCCAAAACTAAATTTGATTGAGTAATCGGGTACGTTTTCCCGAGAAGTACCCAGCCGAAAACAGTTTCGAGCGCTGTGGGTTGCCCAGGTTGACCTGGAATGCGACCTGTTTTTAGAATTCTTGCATAAAGTTCGAGGCAACATGTCCACTGGAGTGGGAATATGGAAAGCTTTATCTGCCAGCTTTATATTGATAATATGCTTCTGTTCTCGTCGATTGATTTCAATAGAGGGCATATTTGAGCACAGTTTGGGCAATACAAAAACAGCGAAAGTAAAAGAAGGGTTGGATTGACCTATGGGCCTAATGGTGCAATTTGCCACGGCTTTGGTTGTAGAGGTGGATTGATGAATACCGACGATAGGTGCCGACCATTTCCTTCTGGTCAAACTTAGACGATTTAGGCAAGCTTGGGTAATAAAATTGGCTTGACTTCCTGAGTCAAGTAAAACTCTGACAATTTTATAATTTCCTCTAGAGTCTATATTTCGACCTGAGTAGTTGACAACAATACCGTGCATTTGGGAGTATTCATAAGAAATGCTGTGCAACCACAGTTGATGAGCCCATGAATTTCGGTATTATCTCGGAGGTTTCGAGCAATATTTTGCGACATACCTATTCCATCTATGCATCTTCCTGCAGTTATCCCAGATCTGCTCAAATGGGCCCAGTAGGAGCCCGACACGCGCCCATGGAAAGAACACGGAAAAAAATGCAATTCCATATCCAAAAGTAGTAATATACTTATAATTTTATATTTGATCCAGTAATAATCTACTTAGTAAAACAATACTTTATTAAACATTGAAATATTTGGTCACTATTATTCTGAAACTCTTTGAATATTATCTGAATTATTTTGCATTTAAATTAAGAATAAAAAATATATTTTATCAAATATAGGTTTGTGCTTACATTAAATTGAAATATTTTCTCGTTTGAAATACTTATAATTTAAAGAGAGTATATTATTCTTGAATGAAATGCATTCTTGCTTCAACCTGCCTTCTTTGTCGCCTTTGTGCTTTGCTTTCCGTTGCGTTCTCCCCCATTCCATTGAACATGAAGTTGAAAGGGACGCCACGCGACGCTACCTGTGTTTTAACAGTGTTTTTTGTACTAAAACGTTTGTTAAAGAAATAAAATCTTTAATTCCAATATTTGAAGGTAAGTTTCACTTTTCCTACTCAATTTCCGGGGAAAAAACAATCAAAAAATTATTAGGCATTGTTTGCGTGGGTGGCTATCATTCATGTAAAAACTTTAACCGCGTGTTATCTGTCATCATGTAGAAGTACTTTATCCAGTCTATTTGCCTTTTGCCTTTCTTTTCTAAATTGAATATTTTTATCTTTTCATAATTAGCAGCATAAATACTTATTGTCAATGAGACAAAACGAATAGGTAGGTACCGAAATATTTTTCAATTTAAAGTTTCGTTTTTTAGTCTATAACATCGATTTTTATAGTTTGTTGTGGTTCACTTGAATAGGTACCTAGTATTTTGAAATTATTTCTAAACATCTATCGTCGTCTCTATTTGAGCTTATTAAGGATAAGTTGTTGACAAAGTACCTGTAAAAACATTATTTTTAATTTTAGAAAATGAAATTGACTTGGACAATGGTTGAACATGAATCATGAACAAATCAAAGAGCGAATTCCCAAAATGGGGGTTACATTAAAATTTGCAAATAAAATGAATCAGTACTAAAATGGCGGTAAAAGTAAAGAAAATGCAACATCTATAACGGATTTTCCCAACCTTCCAGTGGTATATGAATAATTAATAAATAAATGTATTTATGATTGCTATTGAACTTATAATAATTAACTTTTTTGTTATTATTTCATCAGTAACCTTCATATATTATATAAATTTTTAACTTACTTCAGAGTAAACTGTTTCAATATTATTATTAGGTGGGTAGTTGAAACAATAAGAAGTTATTTCTGAAGTAAGAATAAAAAATATTTGGAAATAACTAGTTTTTGTAATGACTATAAGTAATTTTTCGAATTAAATTAAACATTACCTTATTCTTTAAACAATTGCTAGGCTATTCTCGAATTCGACACTACCGTATTCTGAATATAAGTTGAACTTATTTTTAATTCTTCAGAATAGGGCAATATTAGAATTAAATGTTATGTTTTCTTGTGGAATAGTGAAACGAATATATTCTTGGGCAAACGCTACTATTCTTTACTATAGTGGAGTGTTTTTTTCCATGAAGCCTATCGCCTAGCAGACGACCCTATCCAGAAACCATGCATTCGCCCCATATAAATTATCACCAAACGATGCATCAAAAAAATACCGTCCGGCTCAAACTATCCTCCACAGTATGCTCGAGCGCCTGAATATGCTCAACATTATCAGCACAGACGCATGCCTCAAGCTTGTAGACCTGGATAGTATATTCAGGGTCATCATCAAATGATTGGTCAAGAAATGCAGGAAATGCAAAATAACAGTATCTCCTTCAGACAGTTTGAAAAAATTTATCGAAAACTGGGCTGACGAAGAGCCTTTGCCTGAAATTAATCCAATGGACCCGAATTTAAGAGACAAATTGAGGGACGATGCTCCTGGTACTGTTTACATGATCAATCCAAATGATCTGCAATATTTTGAAAATAATGGTATGACAATTATTGTGACATCTGATAATGGCGGATTCCATTTGTCATCCGAAAACTACCAAAACTTACTAAAAAACGGTCTAGTTGATAACACAGCCATAGTCCGAATAATAGAATCTAACAAGGACAATCCCAGTGACAACCAAGACCGTGTGATCAACCAACAAAAGATCGACTTCTGATGGCCAAGAGCCCTTTGTTGGACAGTTCACCCGTTGTGCGAACACTGTCAACTACCCGTTGCCTCTTTGTTCAGGAAAATGTATTCTTTGGACCGACTTATCAAAGTTGATTTGTCAACGTGCAAACATTGATTGATTCGAACCCGTAGTGGTTCCCTTTTCATGGCGCTAGTCGCGCGCATACACCAACGTACCAGTATTTTTGAACTTGTATGGTTTGAAAATATTACTAATAATCCCGATATTTTGACTTGCATGAACAATGTGTAACTGAAAATTTATTTTTGGCACAAATGCTCATAGAAATTTCAAATGTGAATATTTACTCAATAAATATGTATGAAGACAGCCAATCATGCAATAAAATGGCATCTACTTTAGAGTGCAAAAGAACTAAACATATAGATGTTAAGCATCACTTTGTTCGAGACTGTATTATTCAAAATAAAATTAAGTTGACTTATAGGTATTTAGTAGTTAGTAATAGACATTTTAGTTTATAAACTTGAAATACTGCGTTGAAACTTCAAGGTGTATTGTATTTGTTTTGATAACATTTAGGTATAAGAATTATAAGAATAAACTTTTGCAAGGGGGTGTAGGATGAAACAATATTTTATGCTTATAAACATTGATTTGGCAACACTGAAGGACTGAAGTGGGGTGACAGTTGAAGGATGTAAAAGACAGCGTCAACGGTGGCGGGCTCTGTCGTGGTCTTGAAAAGGTTAATGTACTCGATTTCATTTGTTTAATTAAAAACGCATTTTTACGAAATTACTTTAGTTTTTCATTTATTTATCTCTGCAAAAACCATATAAATCCAATAAGACCAGTGACGATTTTTAAAATTACAGCGATAATTCTTTTTTCCATTAGTTTAACTAGAGAGAATTACAGCGATCATTTTCCCATGTTATCTTATTCGAGGTTCTCATGCTAATTTTTGATACAAATAAATGGTTTCTAACAGCAAATAGATGCTGCTATCAGCACCATATTTTTTCCTTTTTTTTGCATTTTCATTCGTGAAATAATCCTCTAAATACCAATCGAGCTTTAAAATTGACCAGATAATTTTTCACTTATGCGTGTTTTCTTTGCAAAATTATAGAAAACACGCAATCTTGAAAAATTATCGGTAACTTTGAAGCTCTCGTGGTATTATCCCCAAAAAATTTTCCAAGGTGACACCATTGTTTAATTTATCGTTTTGTTTTTATCAGATAAATTTGTTTTATTTTTATTTGGAATAGGTATTCTTATTATTTTCCGTTTTTTGATATGAACAGGGTACAGGGTGGTCCAATTTGGACCCTTTTAATAGGAAACGTTAATTTCTGAGCAATATACATCCACTCTGAGGCTCAAATTTCATAAAAAGTATGAGTATTGGTGCAGACCCCATTTTGATTTTTGTGAAAACTTTCTCGATATCGGAACCAAACAGAAAAAAAGTGAGTATGTCATTGAATTCTTCTTGAAAAGGTACCTCTAGAATTTTTATACAGAAATCAATTATTTTCATAAATAAAAAAGTTATGAAACCTTCTCACAGTATTGCTCAAAATCCAGAAACATCCTCTACAATAAAATATATGAATACCTCCACAAGGAATCCAACCACCATCCTAGGCAAAAGAGAGAAGTCATTAAAACTATGACAGGGAATCCGGATTTGTGAACCCAGATACCTTCAGGACGAGATGCAACACCTAAAATCAGCACTTGAAGGAAATGGGTACTCCAAGCAGGAAAAAGAGCTATAAGACGAAAGCAACAGCGTACAAATGATAAGGAACCAGCACAGGTGGAAGGGAGCGCCTTTCTTCCCTACATTAAAAATATCACAGATCGCATAGGACGAACGCTAGAAAAACACAACATTGAACATATTCCTGTTATCCTAAAGAATGGGAAAGTACATCTTGCCTGCAGCTGGAGTGGTCCCTAACTCTCCTGCCATCCCCCAATGCAAAGTTATATTGAAAATATCACAATTTCAAGACATTTCACAATAATTCCTATTGATTGTACCCAAGGCTTTCTTCTCAAGCACTCAAAATAAATCACCCTACCACTTGTTGGATATCTTTGCAATTCTGCTCCAAAATAGATACAAGTAAAAGTAGACTGCGAGATGTACAGGGTCATCCAACGACGACTGGACAGGGGCTTATTTTTGACCTCCCTTGTTCTTGTAGTTTCGAAAAAATTCAAAATAGCCAATTGGCATATTTTTTTCTGGAGAATTCAAAAATGGTACAAAAAAATCATCTGAACCAAAAACCAAAGAGTTACGCCATGGGTGAACTGTTTTTCAAATGAAACACCCTTAACATCAGTAAGTGTGCGGTGGTCACTTATACAAGAAAAAATGATTTTTTTTTTTTTTTTTTTACGGATATGCGCACCCGCAAGGAAATGTCCTATCACGCTCGAGAAGCGGCAATTACATTAGAGATGATTATTTCGCAGTGGGATAGCTTTGAGCAGAAAATCAGAGATTATAGACTTGGGAGTTACATTTCATCAGAGCTTAAAATTTAATAATCATTATTATACCATTGCTGCCAAAGCCTATAAGGCTCTTGGCTTTGTGATACGCAATAGCAAGAATTTTCAGATCTCAACCATTGTCAGGCTCTATAATATATGGTTACCTACAGTATCAGTTTATATAGATCATATTGAAAAAGTACAAAAACGTTTCCCTAGATCTTTGTATGTGAGGAAAAATAATGCATACCCATACTTATATGGTCTCATATAGGTTGTTGCTTGAAACTTTCGAATTTTCTATTTTGGTTCAGAGAAGGAATATACAGGCTGTGATGTTCATTTATTTTGTTATTAATAGTATTAAGTATAATAACTGTGATCTTATCAACTATATATATTTTAGAGTACCTAAGGTACAATTACGGATTTTACATAGAGATTTATTTATTGTTATAAACACGTTATCCCCAATTAGTAAAATGTTAGCTATTTGTAACGAAATATTAAGGAGGCGTGATTTGGACATTTTTAATGTCAAGGAACGCTCCTTGAAAAAGTTATTGCGCTCATCCTAGAGTTTGTGGATGTAATTCTTTTGGATCCTTTTTCTCTCTAGGATATGCGTTTGTAGTTTGTAGGGACTTTGCTTGTAATTACCCAGGGTGTTTGCAGAGTTATCAATAGATTAATAAATAAATAAATAAACTAGGCAATGCGAATTTGATTAGATTTTATAGGCAAACATGTAGGTATGCAACAAAGGACTTATGTATAAATTGATTTTAACAATAATTATTCATAAAAATAATCGAGAATCGGCAGACTGATCAGTTTTTGGAGCTTCTAAATAACAGTAGCATCAATTGATTTGCATGGAATTTAGTTAGTTAGTGCTTTTTTATCCATCCAAAATTAAAATAATCTATTATTATGGAGTACTCAGTATAGTAGAGTGCCCAATGCAGTTAAAGCCTTCTGAAAATGAGTTTTGTAGGCGCGTCGGGGTTACAAGCTGAAACTTGCATAGAATGAAGCTTTTATAATATTAATTCAAAATCCCAAAGTAATACAAAATCAGAACAGACAAAAGGGCAGTACCTATATTCAAAAATTGAGATTATTGCATGAACATATAGAATAGTAATTTATAACTGTTCTTATATAAAATTTATCTATATTTTTGTACAAATTATATTTTTTATTATTGCTTGAAATAAGCCGAATACATTGACCCTTACGGTGAAGTAAATCTTAAAATTGAAATATCTCCGTTCAAACCCGAGCAAAATCTGATTGAAATATACTAGTTTTTGCATTCACCTCGCATTATCTCCGAAATGAAGGCTCAAATCAAAAAATTTTATTCTTGCAAAAATTTTGCCCCATGTATCTAGAATATACGTACATATATGTGCAAGAATAATTTTTTTTGTTTTAAATTTTAAGGGAAATATCTAATTGAATAGTATAAAAAAAGTCATTTTCTTCTAGCCACGACAGCCCGCTCTAGCGCTGCAGCAGTACTCTTCCATCTCACTTTTCTCCGTAGCTCCCTCTCTCTCTCTCTCGCCAATTGTAAAATTCAATAAACCCTTCTACTTGAATTCCGATTTCAAAATATTCAAACTTCAAACCTCAATTGCTCAGTAACCGTTGAGCAAATTGCATTAAAATTTTCAGCATTTGTAGCTCTTATTAAACTCTAAATGGCCTGTAAATAACAATATTCCCAGATTTATAGCTTTTGAGCAAATTGAGTTTGAAGTTTTTGACAAAATTTTCCAGAGCCAAAAATAGGATTTTCTTTTTATTTTTGTTTTTGTTAAAAATGACCATTTGGTCAGGGTTGTTTTCCACTAAGTTTGACCCGCTCTATCGATTAATAAAGTCAAAATTGAGCAAAAGTGAAAAATAGAAAAATCGAGTTTTTCATAAGAATTCTGATTTCAAAATATTCAAACCTCAATTGCTCGGTAACCGTTAAGCAAATTGCATTAAAATGCCCAGAATTTGTAGCTTTTATTAAGTCCTAAATAACCTGTAATTTACAATATTTCCAGATTCATAGTTTTTGAGCACATTGAGTTTGAAGTTTTTGACAAAATTTGGACTAAAAGTCAACTTTGAGGCTCAATTGTTCAAAAACTATTTGAGCCAATTTTGCACAGATTTATAGAGAATTTAATGCTTTTTCCAGTGGTATATAATTTATTTCAATTTGCTTAGAATTTACCAAAGATATGGGCAATTGTTCATGACCATGTCAAGATTTTGAAAATTTTCCAGAGCCAAAAATAGGATTTTATTTTTATTTTTATTTCTGCTTAAAATGGCCATTTGGAATTGATGTCAGGGTTGTTTTCCACTTATTTTGACCCGCTCTTTCGATTATCCTACCATTACGAAGTGTATAAGAACAGTCTCAATTTTTAAATATACTGCCCTTTTGCCCGTTCTGATTTTTTATTACCTTGGGATTTGAATTAACATAATAAAAC